ATTTTCGTCTCTTTATTTTCTATAATTTTATTTAATAATTTGATAGGTTTATTTTCTTATATTTTCACAAGAACTCGACCTAACTTGAGCTTTCCCATTGTGGTTGTCTTCCATAATATTTGGCTGATTAAATAATAATCAACATGTATTTGCTCATTTAGTTCCTCAAGGAACACCGGCAATTTTAATACCATTTATAGTATGTAATAAAACAATCAGAAATATAATTCGTCCTGCAACATTAGCAGTACAATTAACTGCTAATACAACTGCAGAACACTTACTATTAACTCTCTTAGGAAGTGCTGGATCATCAATAAATTGTACTTTAATTTGATTATTAATTCTTACTCAAATTGCATTATCAGTACTAGAATCAGCCCTGGCTATAATTCAATTATTTGTATTTGCAGTATTAAGAAAATTCTAGAACTATTTGTAAAATTTGGCAATGCTCGTTCGTGGATAGAGGCACCACTGACATTCAGTGAATGTGACTTATCTCACTTGGAGAATGATATAGCAAAAGTCGTAGAGCCTGTGATTGAAAATTACAAACCAAAGAAAAATGGAAAAGGAATGGTATTTTCCATGTACCTTTACATGAAAATTCTCGCAAATACAAATCATTTGTAACAAACAACGGTCAGCACGAATTCTTGAACGCACCTTTTGAGGTAAGTAACTCTCGTGTTGTCTTTTCAAGATATATTTTCACGGTATTTCGAAAATTAATAGAAGATGGGACAATAATAACCTACATGGACGACATGTGAGAAAAAAACATAATCTACAAATCAAATGAAAAATATCAGTTTTTAATGAGAAAGGTTACATCTTCAGGATACGTTGTAGAAAGTTCTTCGATTAAACCATCAGTGGAAAAGACTGTTGCTATAGAAAATTTTTCTCTGCCAAATAATTTTAACACTATAAAAACTTTTGGGTCCTACATCACAGTTCAGACGAGTTGTACCTATTTACGCCATGATAGCGAAGCCATTGCAGGGCATGTTATATAAGAACAACACGTTTAAAAGAGGGGATAGTGAGCTGTTAGCGTTTCAAAAATTAAAACATCATCTTGTCAGCGCTCCAGTTTTGTGGTTATAAATCCTAAAGCATTGACTGATATACCCCCTAGGGAACCATTTTATTTAATTTATACATTAATGATTTGCCCTCGGTGATTAAATCCAGCGAAAATTTAATGTATGCTAATAATGTGAAAGTGTTTTCTTCTTTTTCTGTAGAATCGCAATCACATCAGCTTCAAATTGACTTGAATAATTTTTTTGCATGGTGCTTGTTGAATTCTCTGAAACTAAATCTAAATAAATGTAAGATGATTTCTTTCTCAAGACGAAAATCATCCATTACTTAGTATTTCACTGATTCGCACAAGATTCGTCGATTCGTTCACAGATCTAGGCGTTCTATTTGACCATAGGTTACGTTTTAACTTGCATATTGAGGTCTCGTTAAGCAAAGCTAGGTCCGCGCTTGGTTTTATAAAGAAGTGGTCCAAAGAACTTGATGATCCTTATATTACGAAAAGGCTGTACATATGTTTGGTTAGATCTACACTCAAGTTTGCCTCTGTTGTGCGGCCACCTTCCTATAGGTGCAATGTAGATTTAATTGAATCTGTTCAAAAGCAAATCTTGCTGTTTGCCCTTGAAAATGTGTGTTGGGACCCGATTGCTTTTTACTTTGTTTATTACTTTGTTTTTATTAGTCTTCTTTTTTCATATCTTTCTTTATATTGTATACTAGTTTTTAAAACAATTAGTGCAAGATTTACTCTTAAGAGATACTTGAATTCGAAGTTAATTTTGTTCAGTTGAATTTCATGTGTAAGTATTTAAAATAAAATAAAATAAAAATACATACCGACGCGAGTATGTATAAATATGAAGCTGTATTGCTACAGAAGAATCCAAGTGATCAACAATTACATCTGCTTGAGTATATGAATCGTAAGACAACTTTATTCGAACAAAAAATCATTTATACCAATTAGAAGTTCTTGCAGTTATTGAAACTTTAAAGAAGTGGCGTGTTTATGTAACCGGGATTAACATAAAATTGTACATGATACCTTTAAAAGTTTCGAGATGCGCCATTTTTCTTCAGGGATTTGATTTTACAATTGAACACAGATCTGACATCAAAATGCGACATGCTCTTAGCCGAGTGTCTTTTTTATTAATTGAAGATTCATTAAAACATCGTATAATCCAAGCCCAAAAGCTAGACAATTGGGTGAAAGCAATAAAAAAAATAGCAGAAAGCAATTGATATGAAGTCTTCTACTTACAATATAACCTATTATGTAAAGATCTCGCTAAGGGGCTCATCGTGATACCGTCACTGATGCACAGTTTATTGAATTCATTAGATAAGGCAGATAAACCATTATTGTTGTTGTTGTTAGATTGCATAGAATCGATGAAACAAACGCGAAAAATTTACAACTACATATTTAAAATTGTGGATGCTTTTTCTAAATTTGTTTGGCTATACCCACCCTACTCGCAGCTATGATTCTGATGAAGTGATTGGTAAATTAACGAAGCAACCAATTATCAACATTTGCGAATCTAGAAAGAATCGTATCTGACAGAGGAACTGCTTTTACGTCGAAAGCTTTCGAGAAATATTGTGAAGATCAAAACATACCACATCTTTTAATCTGCACAAATGTCTCTGGAGGAAATGGGCAAGTCGAAAGAATTACACAAATAGTTCTAACTTTTCTGACTAAATTGTGCATTAGCCAGCCTCAACAATAGTACAAACACATTGACAGAGTAATGCAATGTGTAAATAACACGCCTTCAAGAAGTATGCATGTATCACCATTTCAAGTCTTAACTGGAGTCGATATTCGAATTAAAAAACAACCTACGGCAGCTACTCGAAGGATTTATATTAGAAAAATTAGATGTGGAAAGAGAAAATTTTGGAGAAAATTTTGTCCGAGACAACATAAACCCCATTCAGAGTGAAAAGAGGAAAACTTTCAAGCATAAAACAAACACAGTTTGGTCCGGGTTTAAAGTTAAAACAAAAATACTTATAAAATAATTAATCAACTTAATCATGATAGATATGAAGTTGAAAAGGTTGATGATGTGAAAGGCCCAAGGCCCACTACTGTAGCAAAGTTCATGAAAAAATGGCACATCTTTCTAGGCGAATAACAATTCAGAATGGCCGAATGAAGGAAGTACACAGAACTACGCTAACAGAACACCATGCAGTATAAACATTTTGTAAATTAGAGTAAGCCTGCGATGTCATTTTCATTTTTATGAATTGGCCTTTCATTTTTTTTTTTCAGTTTAGAGTTGTTTTGCGAATTATTAAAGTTACGTAAGTCAAGCAAATAATTTAATTTATTAGGATGAAGAAAAACATGCCACCCAATTCCTATATAGATTCTCCTCTTACACTCTTTGAACAACTAACCATTAAGATACGATAAAGCAAACAAAAATTGTAAACCAATTTAATATGTATGGCAAAATATCCAAAGATGTTTTCGAATCAGCAATAGTCTAGAAAAATGTTACAAAGAAGAGCTGGCGGAAAATAAAAGCAAAAACATTGAATATAAGCAGCAATGAGATAATGAATATTTTAAATTGAAGGCTAGAAAAAATAAATATTTTAAATTTCGAACTGATAGAATAATATTCTATATAATAAATAAAATTTCTCTTTCTTTAAAGACTTCACAAAAACGTGATCTTAAGAAAAGTGATAAAGAAAAAATTTCAGGCCAAGACTATTCTTCCACACAAAAAGTGTATGCGATCCTCATAGAAAGAAGAATGAGACTACTAACCGCATTATTTAAATGGTGATGGGGCAGACATAAGAACAAATTTAGAAACGCAAGGCACCCAAGGCAATAGAAAATTTCGTAACATTTTATCATTTGAAAGAAAATCTAGTAATGTTTTATGTTTAATAAATATTTTAAAACGTTTATTTTCTCAAATTATTCCGAAATAAACTTAGAATTTAAAGCTATAAAATATATATTTCATTAAATTTGTTTTTATTATATGTTAACATTGTATATATAACGAAGGCACTCTTCCTTTGTTTACATTTATTATAAAAGTAAACTGAATATGTATAGAAATTATACAAAGAAAATGTAAAAAGAAAAAAGATGAGAAATTTTGTTTACCAAAGTATTGAAAAACAAGTTTAAAATTTGATTTTGAAAACAAATTATATATTTAGAGAAATGAACTTAAATTATTTTAAAGCTTTAAAACAAAACAAAAAATGATTGAATGATGAATGATAAAAACGCGTTCAAACCAAATATTTAGTAATGTTTTATATGTAAGTAACTACAGTTAAAAGATATATAAAATGGCCACAAATAATGACACGTTTGACTTAAAAGTAGCGGAGGGTGTAATTTGAATTTAAATAATAAAAATACTTGGATATAATCTTTCTTTCTTTCTTTTCTTCTCCCTTTCTCTGCCATTCTCCCTCGGCCTTTAACCTTCGTTAAAAGCAACGTACAACACCTTTGTTTTAAAAATATCTTAGGACTGATAACACTTAACGTTAACACATAGATTGTAAAAAGATATTACATCTTACAAGTTAAGACTTACATTCTATTATAAGATCAAGAGAAGAATAAGTGATTGCTCTTACTTAACTCATATAAACATTTATAAAGGCTGCTGTTTTGTTGGCACTTTTGGCCAATCAAATGCTTTCACTGACGTGGCCGATGAAGGTGTCGTTTGATGATAGTGATGGTGACCAAATGACGCATTTGATGTTGTATACGACATTAAAGTTTGGTCAAAGGGTTTGTGCGAATTTCGTCTTAAGCCAGAGCTATTTATTTTTGGAGATGTAGGGCGCGTGGAACCAACAGTACTAGTGCTACTTATGGCTGAGACTTGAGGACGTCTATTTTTGCATTTTAATGACCAAAAAAGTATATATAATAAGAAATCATTTTCAATCAAGAGATAATTTTGTACTTTTTCTTTATTGTTGATTCAGAAACATATTAGAAAATTATATTCACCCAAGAACGAATCTTACATATCCACCACTTCAAGGTAACACATAAAAACCGCGAAACTTTCGTTTTATTAAGAGCAAGCAAGCTACTCAAACGATTGAATCTATTTGGCATACAGCTTTTAAATAATCTTAATAAGAAATCGTAGCACATTTCGATTACTACTATCTACTATTTTTAGTTATTTGTAACACAACGAAACGCATTAGGTTTTTTAATACTTTTGTTTTCTTTCGCCCACAAATGCTAATGAAACAAAGTAAATGTACATATACATATGTCTATAATCCGTATATAATCTATGTGATATCTACATCTTTATTCTTCATAGTGAATACAAAAAGTATAAGGGAAAATTTATATGCAGCTTGTAATAAATATTGTTATATTTATCCACATTACCCTCTAATGATTTTTTTCTTTCTTAAACTTACTAAAAATACAAATTCTACATCTCAATTTTCATCTAGTGCAATCCAAATAGATGTGAGTATATAAATATACAAAGTACTAAAAAGGTGTAATGCTTTCTTAATACAATAAATATAGAAGTGAAATAAAGATCACAACAGTAAAAAGTAATGTCTCATCTACGTGAAAGATTCAATTTCTTCATGTTCTTGATATTTTACTAAATGAGCCGAGATTTATCTTTAGAATTTTATAATTAGGACACCATTTAGTCCGTTTAGTTTTTTTTTTTTTTTAATTTTAATATCACAATACAACACACAGAGCAGATTGGACGGATTGATAATAAAAATTTCTAGAGAGATTAGTTTGTTAAGGAGTTATAGAAACAGGAATAAATTTAATGTAATATAATATCCTGATGGTAGTGAATATAGAAATTGTGTATGCTCTAAAATGTTTTTCTAATTTATCTGTAATTTGCTAGTGATTTTTTTGATTTTTTCTAAGCTTTACTTTCCTTATACAGTAACATTAATCCTTCTTAGCATTGTTATTTGAGTATTTCAGTTATACATGCAAATTTACAGTCACCAGTGGATTACTAGCATTTGAACAGCTTAAGATTTTCACATCATCAAAAATAGAAGAAAGTATTTAAAAGAGAACGGAAGGGAAAAGAAATTCAAACATAATTAAAATGTAATTTTGAATCTCTTACTAGAAGAAAAAATGTAGAGTAAATTAAACTTGTGATTTTTTCAAATCTTTTACTGTATACAAAAAAATTATAAAAATTCTTCTATAAGTAAATTAAGATATTTTCACGTTTTCAGTTAAATTATTTCATAAAAGCATAAAATTTACCAAGACAAAGTTTTATACGGTTCGATTTTAACTTAAAAAGCTTCGCATATACCGCTGCAAAGAATTTCAAGAGCTATTTACCTAAAACTCACCTTTGATGGGTAATGGTAAAAACCGATTTAGATACTATACGTTTGCCGTTTTGCCATAAACGTCCAATATACCTCATGCGTTGGATTGATATAATAGCCAAAGCCACTACCCTGGAAATAACATTGAAACGATTTTTTATGAGGTGATTTAATTGCGTTAATTTAAAACTTACTTAAATAATTTTTTTTTATTTTTTTGATTTTCAGTTAATAAATGTTGTCCATCACACGCTGCCAAAGCGCGCTGTTCACTATCGACATAGCTTTGCAGGGAAATTTTCAAGTAACGCTTTTGATACACCAAAGCTTTACGATGTGATTCAACTCTAAGATAACGCCCAAACAAATGATTACAGCGATCCTCCAATTCACTTACATTAGCACTACCGTTCACTTGCGACTCCAGTTCATCACATTTACGTTGCAATTGTCTGCGTTCTTCCACTAAGTAATGAACAGTTTCAGACATTTGCTTGTTCTCTCTAGTATTTTCAGCTAATAAAGCATTAATTTCTTTCATTTTTTGTAAAAACTGCTCAGGCACGGCTTGCGAGCCATCACGATTCGCCAAATTGGCATTGGCGTTGGCTAGCGCCTCGCTTAACCTAGTTTCCCGTTGAGCTGAACACTCGATATCATAACGCAATTGCGCGATAATATTTTTCAGTTTTTCTCTCTCGCTTTCGATTTTTTGCAATTGCGTTTTCCGCTCCTGTAAATCAACCATAAGTTGTGCACTTTCTTTAAGTTGGCGGTCTTTGCGTGCTCGACGTCTTGTTTCAGCTTCTTGCAAACTAGCTATTCGCCCTTCTAAGCTTTCAATTTCTTGTGTTTGCAATGTAAGTCTTTCCTGAAAATGTTCAATTTCCAATTCAGAATTTTCTTTATCTCGCGCTATCTTCTCCATTTCATATTTCAATTTCTCACAATAATCGGTGCGCTCTTCCAGTTCTTTTTCAAAACGCAAACGCTCGCGTTCACTACTTTTTTGCAAATCAGCTGTGCGTTCACGTTCACGTTCATTTTGCGCTGTTAGCAACTTAATTTCACTACGCAAACGTTCAGTGAAGTCAGATTCAAAATCAGGTAAGGATCGTGAAGATTTACGAGGAGATTCGTTGGGTGATTTCAAGAGTGCCGAATTACGTCTGCTCTCCGTGCGCTTCAAGGCGCATAATTGCGTCTGAAAGGATTCACAACGTTGTTTTTCTATTTCCAACTGTTTATGAAGTTCCTCGTCTTGTTCAAGCACTTCTTCTAAACGTTTTCGCAACGATTCAATAATCATCACGTCTTGTTCTTGAATTTCTTGTGAATGTTGTTTTTCTTGTAATAATTCTTTATGTATTTTCTCACCCAGCTCTTGTTGTACAACAATTTGGGCCTTTAACATTGACAATTGATTAAGCAATTCTCTTTCGCCTGCAAAATTCTCGTCATCTGTGGTACCGGGACCGTCAACTAAAACAGGCTTATGCGCGTGACTTCGATTAAGATTATTTTCCTCTTCACTTTCGATGGCCTTCAATATATTTGAGTCAAGCTGTGCGGAATAATTCAGTTCTTTTTCCACTTGCTGAGCTATTTCCTCCACCGAAAACTGTTTAGAGCTATTATAACTGTTTTGCTGTTTTAGTTTTTCCATTTCGCGTTCTAAAGTGGTTATTTGTTTTTCCTTTTCATTTAAGCTCTTTTCAGTTGTGGTAAGTTTAGTGCTCAATGCAAGTAAACGGTCGTCTTTGCATTTTATAGCTCGATTAAGTCCTTCCATTTCATGCCTACGATTCTCATTATCATGGATTGTATATTTGCATTGCTCATGAGCTTCTTCCAAGCATTGCAATTCTTTACGTAAATTCTCTCTTTCCTTAACTTCACGTTCAGTATTTTCAAGTATTTGGCGTTCCATCTCTTTTATACGCTTCAAGTGATTTTCCTCACTTTCTTCATAATTGCGCAAATTTTTTTCATTTTTGCTCAGCAATTCGGTTTTCTCTTTCTTAAGTTTATCTTGTTCTCTTAAAAGTTGTTCAATTTCAAAAGATTTTTCTACGACTTGCCCGCGTAATTCAAGTAAGTCTTTTTGGCAGTTAGTAAAATCATCTTGCAACGCATTTAAACGTAATTGAGTAGATATTAAATTATCTTCATTTTTTTCTTTCTGCTGACTAAGAACATCCTTTTCTGCTTTTAATAAATTCAGATTTTCCTTCAAAATATTCGCCTCCTTTTTCAAATTTTCTACGAGTTGATCTTGATCTTTGTTGGTAGATTGTGGAGTTTGTAAAGGAGTTCTTAACTTCAAATCCTCAGTGACGGCTGAAAAGTTAATTTGTCTTGGTATCAGTAAGGGTGTAATACTACTATCCGATTTGGCAGAACCCAATACGATATTGGGACCCTGAAAATAGTGAGGATTATCAAAAGTATTGGCTTGTTGTAAAATATTGAAGCCGGAAAGATCTTCGCAACGTCTTTGTGTCAAGTTGTCTATTACTGCTTTAGAAGAATCAATTGTTTGCTGTAGAACGCCACCACAACCTTCGGGTACCATAAGGGGAGAACCCATATTCTGGGCCGCTGCCCTTCTAACAACATCTGGTTCATCAAACTCACTAATCGACATTATATCACTTAGAGTGCGGGCACTTAATTTCGCTTTAGATTCTTCAACTTTGACACCGCACGCTTTTGCTGCACCCACCGAAGATGTCTGATTCGTTTCCAAGACAGATTGCAATTCATTTTCTTTGGTTTCCAGCTGTTCTCGCAAATGATCGATCTCGTCGTTCTTGTCGGCCAACATGGTCTCCATTAAATCAGGTAAGGCCAATTTATTAATCATTTCATTTTTGATTTTCTCCTTAAGTTTTTGATTTTCTATCTGCTTTTGTTTCACTTCATTCTCCAAGCGCTCAATGGCGCTGCGATCTGGTTGATGCTCTATCGCCAGTTCAGCCTCTAAACGATCTATAGCCAATTTGCTTTTTTCTAATTGCTGTTTTAAGGCCGCAATTTGTTTGTCCCTCACATCAAGTGTCTCTCTAAGATTTTGAACTTCAGTTTGAAGATCGTGTATGCGAATACTTAAATCGGAAGTGTTAGCACGTTGTAAGTCTTCAGCTCTTTGGCGTTGCTCTTCAAGACGATTTTGCAAAGCCGATATGCGCTGCGTCTGTTCAGACATACGCTCTTGCAATGACTCTCGTTCGTGCTGAAGCTCCTGTATGGGAAATTTGAAATTAGAAGAAAGAATGAAATAAATTCTGCATGTGTATATCTGCGCTAAACCGCTTATCGAAAGCAATTCGAAAGCATTTCATTCTTTTTCTTCTCTTATAATAGTATACGTCTGTAAGGCAGGATATAAGTCGTTTTCACAGTTTTTATATTGTATACAAGATAGTTAATATATTTGAGGTCTATATAGAAATTAAAAAAAAAATTATGTAAATTTCGTATGTAAAATAACGGACCGCAAAAAAAGTTTATTTGTTGGGCAGTGCTTACGTTATGTGCAAAGTCTGTTCGTTAGTTCTTTCAAAAAAAAAAAACCTTGTGTCCATATATGTACGATTAACCTGATTAGCGAAACAAGTTTACCCATACCTGTCTGTCACTACGTCCGCCATGCTTCCGCTTTGCTAAAATTCTATCTTATCTAAATTTCAGAGAATGGGTGGATAACCGGCTTCAAGATGTGTTTTAATAAAAGATTTTTAATTAGGAAGCATTCATAAAAAAAAGTTCTCAATATCCTGTCATATGGGTTTGTAGAGTTTTAATTGGGACCATACACGCAGTTTATAGTTTAGATTACTATCGATGCAAACTCTATATAAATAGATATAGGGAAGATTTGAATATAAGAAATCAACAAAAAAGATTTCTCAGAAGTTCAGTAGTTTTTGACCATGTGAAATTGCTAAAAAAAACCCAGGCAACAAATAAAAATAAATCAGATTAAAACAGCACAATTTTTACTCTGACCTGACAAATCTGTGTATAATTTAGTGTTAGTGCCCACTGCGAAGTAGAGGATCTAACAATCGTTATTGCTTACTAATTGTGCATAAATAGTTTTCTGCTTGATAACAAAAACAAACACAAAACATAGTCAACATATTTAACATAACACCTGAATGCAAGAAACTCTGCTAACCAATAATCATAGAGATTTAATTTATGTGAACAATATGCAAACAAACTAAGTAAAATTTCTTTTGTTAATTTAAGCGAATTTTATCCATTAGACTTTTAGTATATATGACCAAAAACGCACAAATAAAGAGACAGATGTTATGAAGATTCTGTGCAAAGTGAAAATATTATTAATTTATATTGACTGTTGCAAACATCCATGTATTGCAACGGAAGTCTTAGCGCCCCGACGTTGAGCCAGGTAGCTTGGACTCACCTTACACTTGCTTATCCTAAATACGCAAAGTAAATTTCAGTACAATAAGTTTCAAATCAATACCTCTCGCACATTATTAGCTTCTTTTCAATCAATTAAAGCTTGCTATGCTAAGTTATAAATTTTTATCTGGGCTTTTGCGACTGTAAAGAGATTCCAACCACAGCTAATAAAAAGTCATATAAACGGACGGACGTAAAAGATAAGCAGACATGGAGAAATTAACTTGACATTATGCAGCGATCAATGTTATGTTTCATGCCATCATTTCAGTTGCGTGTTTCTGATTGCAACAACCGGGATCACAAATTCTCTTTACCACATATTTCAGTGATGGGCATGCGAAGATAACAGACTATATTAAACACTTTCCGGTTTTGACTGACGTAATTTTCATGTAGTAAAACGTTTAACAGTCTTCCTACGGATGGTGGTGTTCAATTAAAATGAAAAATTAAACTTATTTCATCATGGTTTATAAGAACATCTTATTTCAATGAAGTGGAACGGTTCAATTACCTTGAGCTTCTATATATCTCTCTCTTCCTGATTCTTATACTCATGACCAAAGGATAAGAGGTATACTCATTTTGTCAAACCGTTTGCAACACCCAGAAAAAAGTTTCAGAGACCCCACAAAGCCACATATTCTTGATCAAAATCAAATTCTAAATCGATTTAAGCATGTCCGTCTATCCGTCTGTATAATGCCTGTTGTAAACATTCTCCTGGCCGAAAAAATTAAGCTATCTTCTTCAAATTTTGCAGAAATATTGAACGTTCTTGTACGCAGTTTATTAGCCTAATCAGTATGAGAACACGCCCACAGAGCTAATTAAACTGAGAACACCTCTCTTTTTCAAAACCAAAAAAAAAATGGTTTTTGCTCATTACTCAAAAATTTGAACAGATATTCTATTGGCGATATTGTAGCACCTGTATAAAATTGAAAAAAATTGATCACGCCTACCCAAAATTATAATGTATCAAAGTTTAATTTTTTTTCAATATCTTTATAAGGGGCAGACACAAGTTTCAAAAACCCCATAAAGTATATAAATTCTAGTTCAGTTTCAAATTTTGAATGCACATGTCCGTCTGTTCTTCTGTCCATCTATCCGTCTGCGCAACCTTGTACTATTTGTGGTAAACATTCTACCGTTAGAGAAAATGCGCCCAATTCATATTATATGGCATGAAAATTTAGTTCTCTTACTTTTTTTGCTTTTTTTACGATAACGGTGATGAGCATAAAAATTCGAATATAATTTTTTTTTTTTTTTTTTTTAAGTACTTTTGGTGCAAGTAATGGTAAAAGTATTTCTACCATAAATTTTTGATAACCCATAGCATCAATATCTTACCCCAAAGCAATATCCAACAAAAATATTGCAATGATTATAATCCATACTTCAACAGCAGTAATGCCAACGATACAAACTGCAAATTTTTTAATAAATAAAACTCAGTTTTAATTAAGAAAAAACACTTTCGTTTAAATGAAAACGAAAAAAAAAAAAAAATAATAGTAAAAAAATGAAATGATCTCCCTACACATGAGGCATGGTGCATTCAACGAAAAAGTTCATAAACAGCGTTTTGTGCAACTGTGATGAACGTATGACGACTGCCAGTAGCTACAAACTGTCTATGAACGAACAAGAGAGAAACCCTAAATGAATGAATGTCATGAACTCTGCGGAGCATTAACTTCTCTTTATTTTTGTTCTGTTACAACACAAAAACAGAATGCAAAACAAACACAGATTTTTCTTATTGAATTACTTGAGATAATGCAAAATTACTGGAAAAGATGAATAGAATATTTAAAAAAAAAAATTTTTTTTTAAATCACTTAAGTTGTACAAGTACAATAAACACTTGATGTGAACTTTGACCGCAACAAACGCAGATTCTTTTGTAGTCGATTAAAGAGCAAAGAAAGGAACAAATACAATGTTTCTAAAGCATTGTAGAGATCAATTACGACTACTTTTGCATGCGCCCGTGTATATACAGCAATTCAAAGATTTCAAATGTCAGCAATTTTATACAGATTACTTCGTTTTATCCCTTTGCGAATATTTTTCCGCATATTTTTGGCTATAGTTTATCGTACATTCAATTTTACATATTTGCACATTTTTCTGCAAACAGGCATGAACTAAATTATTTTTTTAATCCCGTTATGATATGTTTGCAAAACATCTATTTTCGTAATGAGTGCGAAATATTTAACCCAATTTTAATATTATTTAAAAAAAAAAAAATGCTAAACCGCCAAGCATTATTGTGGACGTCATTTACTAAATATAATGAAAGAAAATTTTTATTCACATTACCGGCCCCTACGAATCTTTTCATCTGTACGGCACTTGCTATTTCTTAAATATATAAATGAATGTTTGAACATGAATTACTTTTATACCTGAACGTAGGACCAATTATATACATTTTAAACTAATATCGGCCTCAAATGAAAACCAAGTTAGCGACTTTTTGTAAACCCGCATTCTTACATATGATTCAGTTCGTATTTTTTACATCTAGATGTAATTTTATAGAGAAAGCCCGACAAATGTGGTGCAGTCACTTCCAGTATTACCTAAATCAAAGATTTAAGGTTGCGTGGCCATAGCAACTGTAGGAAACCGATCATGGCGTGACTCAAAAACTGATACTCTGCAGTGAGACTGCAGATAGACTGTACATAAACAGACATAAACATATCGACTTTTAACAGAATATGCATTGTTGTGGAGCTCAATGAATTGCACTTTGCACCAAACTTGACATTTATTGTAATTAATAAGCGGCCACGATTGTTTTCAGGGAACCTTACATAGGTTTAAAATAGAGCAGGACCCATTTTGTAGTTTTTGCAAATGCATCGAAGAGACTAAAGACCGGTTCTTTGTCTGTCCGAAACACTATTAAGAATGACAAAGACTATACAAAAAAATCGAAAAGAGGTAAATACATTGTTCTTAATATTTGTATTTTATTTCTTTTTATACCTACCACTGAAGGATGGGGGGGGTATGCTGATTTTGTGTCGCAATGTTTGGACACCCCAAAAGGATGCTTCAGGGTCCCTATTAAGTATATATATTCCTGATCAGCGCGAAATTCTGGTTCGATTAATCCATGTCTCTGATCCTCTGTAAGCCTGTATCATGTGTTGTTGTGGTGTTGACAGACACCCTTTTGAACGCAAAAATGAAGATATTGAAAATGACCGAAATGGTTCAGAGCACATGTCCGCAGCGAAGCGTAAACTTAACATAATCACGTATCTTTAGGCAAAAATTTGTGGACTTTTGTTCATTACCCAAAAATTAAGAAAGATTTAAGTCTGCGATTTCCTACATTTATTTTACGGGAAATTCTGGTATTTACGTGCGAAAATGGAAATTGATTTTGTACATTCCGGAAATGAAGATATATTCACCGCGTAAAAATGCGTTAATTCTAAGAAAAAATTATAGTAGACGTCTCGACGTAGTGGGTTAATTTTTTCTTAATAATACCGCCGATATTGGTATCAAATAAAAGTACTTACAGAGTAGAATGCAAAAAACGAAGTGTGTTAATTCTAAATTAATTGTGGTGGATGTCACGACGTAGTAGATTAAGTTTTCTTAACAATACCTAAGAGGTGAAAGATAAATTTTTATCCGATTCACTTTTTTATGATCGTAAATAAAGCATTGGGGTGCTACAGATTTTAAGAGTGGCGGGTACGCGAGAATCGGCGTTAGCCGAATATAACTTTCTTGCTTCAGTGTTTTTAACTTTTTAAAGTGTACAGGCTTCAAGAGTTGATGGAAAACTCTGACGCAACTTTTTCAATTGTACAAATTTTGCGAACGTTTTTGAATTGAATGCATTGAACCGCTCTGTGAATTTTTACAGCTCTTACAACTTTCTATAATAAAACGAATTTAACGACGTACCAGCGTTTTTTTGGGATGGAAAGAAAGGTAATTGAAGAATAACACTCATATTCGTTATATTAACTTTACATTGAAGTATGAAAAAAATAATTTTTTTTTTTTAACAATGATTTTTCTTAATAGCTAAAGCTATTCTTCTATCCCTCGTGCTAGTCTTTAAAATTATGTTTCGGCAAAAGCCCGCTTTTAGTTTCAAATGCCCGTACACTGTTCTATAAAGTTAATTACTTAAAGATTATGTTTCTTTTCTACAATCGTCCAATACCAATCGGAATCGATACAAAATGATTACATCAGCAAAAAGAACATTGTTTGTGAAAAGCACAAGCTTTACATGGTTAGAAGTGGCCTGCAATTATTAGCAGCTGCAGTTTCTTACGCTCGTTGAAAAGGAGTTCGGATAACATTCAAAATTTTGTGATCATGAAAGAAACGGACCCTTAAAAGAGTTAATTTCGCCTGAAAACACACCAACAAAACCCTAAAAGTTATTCCCAATAAACGAAAAGTGGCGTTGCAAGACATAGTTCATATTATAAAGATACCAAAAACACTATTTTGCATGAAAAAGAATGTGTTCCAAATGGCTACCGTGGCATCGCGTTCACAGTAGAAAAGTACAACACACAGTGTGACAAATCATTAACTACCATGCCAAATTTCTACTCAAGCCCCTATAATCTTCACATCCGGCCATCAGCAACTACTATCTATTTGCAAATCTTAAAAGAATGCTCCAAGGAGAAAAATTAGAGTTTACTTGACATGTTTTCACGCCTTTTTCTAGAGTCTCTCGCACGGATCTCGTAAATACTGATTTTAGCAAATCGTGAGTAAGATAACCGTAACTTATTTATCTTCAAACTCCTTGCTTCTGGCTTCGCTTTCTACTTAGTAAAAAAGGATAACCTCGTATCTGCACAGCAGATCATTCATGGTTCTGGATGAATTTTCCGTGACGTCTGGCGACCCTGACAGCCACATAGGACCAGTTTTATTTATTTTATGCATTCGTGACCCCTCGCCGGTAATTAAATCCAGGCAGATTTCAATGCACACTGACGATGGTAAACTGTTCTCTTCCTTCTCCTTGGAATCGCAATCGTATCAGCTTCAAACTGGCTTAAATAATTTGGTTATATGGTACTCATTAAATTTCATAAAATTAAAAAACGCAAGAAGCTTTCTTTCTTAAGAAGGAAGTCATTTAGTATTGAGTATTTCATTGACTCACATAAGTTGGAAAACGTTGATTCGTTCAAAGAGTTAGGGGTTCTATTTGACTAAAGATTACATATTTAAGTAAAACAAGGTCCACGCTTGGTTCAATTAAGAGGTAGTGCAAAGAGCTTAAGGATCCTTACATTAAACGTTGTACATGTGCTTAGTTAGGCCAATACTTATTAATGCTTCTGTTATATGGTCTCGTTCCTATAGGTGCTTTGAAGATTCAGTTGAATCCATTGAAGAGAGATTCTTGCTGTTTGTCCTTCTAAATTTGGGTTGGAGCCCCGTTCTGTCTCTGGCTCCTCATGATCTTGTCTGCGTTATCATCATTTGATAAACGTAGATAAGCTTCAATATATCTCACCGCTTCTCTTGGCACTTTATGTTCACTAAACTGAGTCAATGTGAATACAATTATGAGCTGTTTAACCCGTTCAGAGTCGTTTGTAGAGACCTGAATTTTGTCTATCACTGGATGTCAATATCGGATTCTTTAAAGTCTATCAAAACAACTTTGCTTAACATCGCATTTAAACTACCTTGCAATCTTAACATTTCGCTATGATGCGAATTGGTGTTGTTTACTGTATCGGTTGCCATGCTTCTGTGTGCTTGCAATGGTTTATGGGTTCACTTGCAATTTGGTCCTCTACTGGTTGTGGGTGTGCCTCTGTACTAGTTGTATACACAAGTTTTTTCTTTGTTTTTTTCGCCTTCTTATTTATTTATACATCAATTATTTTTTAATAATTATTGTTTCTTTTTTTTTTATTTCCTATATACTTTATACTAGTTTTTAACATTAATTAATAAAAGATTTACTTCTAAGAGTCAATTGAATTCGACTATTAATTTGTCTTAACTGAGTCTCATGTGTAAGTCAATAAAATAAATAAATAAATAATCCCGAGGCTTATTTTCAGATGTGTTTTAATGTACTTTGGTTTTTTAATCGGACAATAATTCTTTTCCAAATTCAGAATCTATATCTACTATTGAGAAGTTATTTATAAAAAATCGTTGATATTTTCAATTATATTAAAATGGGCGTTCCGTAAATTATTAAGTATAATAAAGAGATTTATGGGATTTCTGTCGATCGCGAGGATCATCGTATTTCATCCGTAAAATTGTTCTTAACTTTAACTTTCTGCTTAATTTTTCGACAATTTGAAATGATAAGTTTCAAGGAAAATATGGGCGTAGCAAAGACGTGTAAGAGTTTCTCGCTATTTGGACATATATATGTGATCACTAGCGCATATATTTACGCATTACAAGACGCGCAAAATTCGTACTTTTCAATATTTTTTACAAGAATGTGTGCTTACACAAGCATAAAAAGTATTATTGTAAATAATCAATATAAAATTAAAGTAAACATTAATTTATTTAGTTTTCATTTATTATACCGACTTGAAAAAGAAAGATATAAAAACCGGAGCTATGATGTTAAAAAGGTATGCCAAAGCATTTTATATTGGATTAGGATCTTCGTCGTTTTTTGTGTCAATTTTTAATACCAGCTTAACAGAACTTCTTATAGACAATTTAATTATTATGAATATCATACCGACTGTACACATATTCGTGGGCCATATGCATATATTTAAACTATGGAATTAAAAAAAAAAAACACAATACGCGTTTACATTGAAAATTTTTGCTTTTCTTTATCAATTCTTTTAATGCATAACAATTAATTACAACAAAGAAAAATTGTAAAAAAAAATTCTTCCCACTTTGGCTTGTTTTTGACAAAATTTTGGCAAACATTTAGGGAAATTTGCAAATATATTTTTTTTTATTTGCGGACAAACAATAAAAATGGTTTTGGGAAACTTACCCTAAACGGACTCATTTTAAGCGATATATGTTTTTGTAACATTTATAAATTAAAACAAAATTCTTTAAAAAAAATTAATTTTCATATTTTTGAAAGAAAAAAAAACCACTAAAGACATCGAAGTCTTTGTCACTTACGAAAAGAGAATTAATTCAATTGAATGTTCTGCGTACAAAGACTCACAATTGACTAACATCAGAAACACTTAATAATTTAAATAAATAAAGGGGGATGCAGGCAAATAACTAGAGAAAGGAAGAGTAAACAAAAACCATAACAATAATAAGAAATATTTTTTGTAATTAAATGATCTCCCAATAATAAAAATCTCACTGCTATAGTTAAGTATAGTTGCGAGGAAAAACTTTTCATAAAATTATCGAGTGAGTGGTTGCTACAGTATGAAAGAAAGAAAGAAAGCTTTCGATTTCAAAAATATGAAAGCTTTTTGCTTTCACGATTTTCATTGGATCCGTTGTTTCCTTGTTTGCATAAATAGCTATAAAAAAGAAAATAAGAAAATACAGCAACTCACCACACATACTGCTCTTATGTGAGTCATTTGCATTTCTAAATCTCTTAGACGTTTAACGGATGCCTCTTCTACGCGCGAATGCTTTGACAACTTATCGGCAATGCGTTGTACACCTTCCATGGCGAGCGAGTGTTGGCGTGGTGAAGGATGAACTGGGGATTCTTGTAGACCAGCATCAACTGTTGCCGGCAACGATGACGGCGCAGAGCCGTGCACCGACACATCTTCAGTAGCACTTAAACTGCCCGAATTTGAAGCATTCGAATGATGTAAAGATTCTAAGTTCTTAGTTTTCTGATCCAAACAGTTCTCTATATCGCGCAATTGCTCCACTACCTGATCTAAAACAAGACTTTGTTCCGCAGTTGGACGTATATTTTGTAATTTATCTTCCAATTGTTTAACGCGCATTTGATAGCCACATTCAATCTCAGTTCTCAGACTTTGGACTTCACTTTGCAAAGTGTCATTAGAACGGTTTTGCAAGTTAATATAATTTTCCAATTCCTTATCAAAAAAGAAAAAGAAAAAGAATTAGTTTAGAATCTTTTGTCCACAAATAATCCATATTTTAATATATTCATGAGAGTCGATATAATAATATGCCTGCTCCTATACTAAGTGTGGCCTAAGATCCTCAAACTCAAGATTTGTGTTTCATAGTAGATTGTACGAATTAAATTTCTCTCAGAATACGCTTAGTTAAACAAAGCACGTCAGACAGAAAAGAAGCTGAAAAAATTCGGTCAGAAATTCTCGTAATCAAAAACTTCACAAGTTCGCCATGATTTTATTATAAATAATAGAAAAGAATCACGCATAAAGAGTGTGTATTAATAATCGGGCCATTAAAATGTCCATATGCAACAAAACACTACAATTTTCACAAATTTCCTTTAAATAAGGGACGTCCAATTGTTTGCTCTATATAAAACTATTCTATAAGTAATTTCGAGTTTCGCATTTGACATCGTTTCATCAGGGTTCGTCAGGGTTCGTAACCGCCATTTTAGACGCCCAATATAAAATTTTTTACTATTCCCTTGATTCTTATTATAATAAGAAGAGAAAAAACCCTACCTTAACTTTTTCACTCATTACATGTTCATTAAGAGCCTTTGCTTCAATCTGAGTTTCTAGATCAGATATAATTTCTCTCAATACAAATATTTTATCAATCGAAGCTTTCAATTCCACTTCAAACTTGTCACTTTTATTGATCGAGTCTTGCAGTTTTTTTGTTAAGCCACGCATTTGGACCTCCAATTGTTCAACCTATGAGTAAAAATGAAAGAAAAAAGAATAATCCAAAGGAAACTTAATTAAACAATAAATATCTTATACGCCAAACTAAAATTCAAACTTACATTCACAAAAATTCTTGCATTGAGTGCATACAATAAAAATGAGTTATTTTCGTTTAACAAAGAGAAACGATTAGTGCTTAAAGCATAAAGTTAGAAAGAAATAAGTATTAAAGATAAATTTTATTTTAATATATATATATATATATATATATATTTTTTTTTTTTTTTTTTTTTCTTATATTATCAATATGTTTTTTAGAGCTAAAGAGAAACCAATAAAGCATTAATAAGAGTAACGTAACACAACTTGGATGGATAGAGGAATTATTGTAAACCCAAAAACAATACAAATGTGCATCGCATTTTATAAAATATCCATTTAGATATTTTCGCATAATATTCATACACATGCAGCACCTTTACTTTTTCAATATGTTATCCATAATTTCCCTTAAACAGGTCCGCATAGATTACCTTAAATCGCAAAACAATTGCAAAACATACCAACATCCATATGACTTTCCGCAAAATAAAATTTTTATACATTTAAATACGAAGCATAAGAGAAACGTAAAAAATAAAAATTAAAGAAAAACTAAAAGAAAAAATCATGTACTTTTTACACCAATCCTTAAATTCAAATTAACCAAAGACGAAAGATGGATAAGTAGTGGTACTGGAAGGTTTAATATAATAACCGTCATTCATCAACAACCAAATAAAATCAATATTGGGAGTAAAATATCCGTAAAAGTAAAAATAATGCAGTGGGAGTAGGTGTGGTAGGATATCACTGTTAGATATTTTAGCCATCCAAACCATATAAAAAAAAGTTTGCGTAAAAGTTGAACTCACCTCCTCAGAGGCATTAACATAATTACTGCACTCTTTTTCTTTATCGCGTAACTGTCCTTTAATGTTTGCAATTTCGCACAGAAATTCGTCACGTTCCTGCTCACGTTCGGCTGCCTGCTCTTCCAAGAATTGTCGTGTAGCTTTTAACTGTTTATCGGCCGTATCAATCTTCAAACGATGTTTTGAAGGTATAAAAATTAAAACTAGATTTATAATCCAGACAAGGAAACTAAGTCTAACTTATGTTGAAGAAATTTTATAACAAAACCAAAAACATAAGCGAAAAATTCTTTATTTCAGTAATAATTTTCTTCACCTTTTTTCACAATAAACTCTTTCAGTTCAACTAGTGGGAATGTATTATTATGACACGAAATTGTAGTCACTCATTAGTATCATATTAATATTTACACAACAGCAAATTTACTAAAAAGTTTAATAATTTTTTTTTTTTTTAACTTACTTGTGATTGTAGATCCTCCCGTTCCCTTTTATTGAACTCTACTACTTTGTCACCCTCACGACAGAAGTCCTCAATCATTTGCAAAAGTTGAACCGTAGAATCATGATCCGGTTGGTTCTGTGTTGGTGTGGTCAATATATTTCGAGCCTTCTCTTGCAATTGAGCGAAATTACTAGAATTGTGCTCCGAAGGGTAAAGGCGTGGAGATGTTACTTTTATTGACGCCATACCATAACCTTCATTATAGTCGATATGATTCAACGAACTCAATTGTGACAACTGGTCTCTAAGGTGTTGCAACTCTTCTCCTAATTCCGTATTACGATTTATAGTTAGATCCAGTTCTTGTTGCAATTTCAAACGATCACTTTCCGATTTAATAAGGCGGTTTTTAAGTTCGATCAATTGAAAGTTCAATTCAGAGGCATTAGCATCATTCGAGGAATTGCTCTCAAATTGCAAACGATTAAGATCAGGTGGCAGTGAAGATACTTGTGGAGCATTGATAAAGTTATTGAATTGATAAGTAGATAAGTGTTGTTCATTCAACGAGTTAACGCGCAAAAATTTATGTTTATCTAGCTCAGTTTCGCAATAACTGCCTTGCTTTTCAGCTTCACTACCATTAATGCTCTCCGGTCTTTCAATGTTTTGCTGTTCCCTTTTACGTTTAACTAGATCTTCGGATAAATGCAAAAGATATAAAGCCTCTGAACGTAGTTTATCCAAGCAATCCTTTAAATCGAAATCATCATTAAGTTCATTACTTTTATTTGCAACATATTGCAATAAACTGGGATCTTCTATTACTTCTAAAAGATTCTGCACATCCGGCATTAAGCGAGAAGATAAAGAGTTGTTAAGAGATGTATTAAATAAGCGAGAAGAATTAAAGTTGATATCATCATTATCCTCCACAGAGCGATTATAAGATAATAAGCGTTGCACTTCTTCTATAAGAGTTTCATTTAAATCATTCTCATAATTGGCCACACATTTGGCTAATTCGGCTAGGACTTGAATCAAAGATTTGGTTAGCTCGCGTAAACTTTCTTGTTCATTGAGTAATTTATCAAAATCTCGTTTCGAATCAAACGTCAAATGGCGTTTATTCTTACGATTCAATTGTTTCTCATAATCCAGCTTTAATCGCGACATCTGATAATCGAAATTTCAAAAAAAGAAATTTATGTAATTCATAACGAACGGGAAAATTCATAATTTGATTTTGCAATTGAGTTTCAAGAAAAATATAAAAAGAGAAAAAAAATTTATTATTGGTATCAAAATAGAGTAATTAAATACTAGCTACCAAGAAAAGAGAAAAAAACGATGCCTAAAAATATGCTATACATATGTAATGCGCAAACGGAAGGAACCAGACCTTAAAGTTCGCGGTTACTATGCGACGCTTTTTTCAGTGCAGATGATATATGATGCCAAAATCGTTCAATAAGGTCTGTGATAAGGCAGAGAATGACTCGAAATAACGAAAATCTCCTTACCGTTCGGGCAAATTGTTTACTGAAAACGAAAATCTATCGTTTGGAATTTTCAAGAAATGGGATGGTCTGTGAGTCTCACTTGGCCAGTTTTCAAAAAGAATTTGAGCCTATATACTTATAAAATTTTTGACCTTCAGGAATTAAATCCCATGGATCCATGTGAATTCGCTTAGTTGGTTTTGGAACAATTTGAAAACTATGATGTTTTTGTTTTCAAGAAAATCTCTTTCTCATTCTACGCTTATATTTGCCTCGAAAATTTAAAATGAAAACCCAATCCACAAATTATTCAACAGACATATCTACATACCGTAAAAGTGAGTGTTTGATGTAACGGCACCATACATACATCGGAGAATTAATTTATTACGTGGTCAATAATAAGTTGTGATAGCGATAAGTTATCAAGGACGTTATCAAGTTAACAAATTTAGAATATTTCTTGTGGGATTATTTAAAATTACGAGTCTATAACATTAAACTAGATTTTATTTCTATTTATGCGTTGAAAACGAATATTGAACGCACTACGCACGAAGTTCTCGAAAATCGGGTTCGTCGTATTACTTCCTATAAAACGAGCTGTAATGGCTATTAAAATGATATTGTTGTGCTTTTTCTCAATTCTTTAATGTTGTTTGTTTAAACTTTAAATGCCCCCTTGCAGACGTAATTAAATCAATTTTTAAGCTCATCACTACCGTGCTTGTTTCCTCCTACCGTTTTTAACACGCAGCTATATTCATGCAATGCGGATCGAGATACTACACCAAGCGAAAGCGTTAGTCAAAAGATGAAACTCATTTTAAGACTCAAGGTTACTTAATATCCTAAAATATGTACCGTGTTCACAGTAGACTTATGCATCATTTCAAATAACTGTTGGTATAAAATGTACTTACTGACATCTTCCAAATCTCATTAGTTATATAATTTCGCGACAATTATTGTATTGGTGATAATTATATGTAGTCTAATAAACAACTTACGAATAAATGTTTACGCCGAATTTCAAATCGATATATACCTTAAGTGGTAATTTTTGAAGATAAAGCCTAAAATTTGCTCCAATTAAGTTGCTTTCAATTTTTTGACAAATAAAGAAACTTAAATTTGACTTTTTAGGTATAAACTAAACAAAAACAAATTTAGATTTCTATCGAAATTTTTAATAACATTAAAAGCCGCACACCAGAAAGATATAAAATGATATTGTAGATCGGACGTTCTACAACTAGACCAAAATAGTTGTAGTCATTTTATTTTCAGACAAATTTCTGATATTTAAGATCTTAAAGCAGTTTATGAAAATTGAAAAATATTTTATCAAGTGTGGACATGCCAATTGGACCATTAAAACTATTTCTATACGGACACACACTGCAATAGATTGCAAGCTACAGTTTTTGCGGACTTTTGACTTGCTTGCAAATGGAATGCGTTTGTTTTCCTACTTATATCTTGAATGGAGCGAAAATGAAATGAAATCTAGTACACACGGACCGTTCAGTCGTATTTTAAAATTGAAATGAAATTAAATGAAATAAAAAATCACGTCACATTTATTTATCCTACCTCTTCAGCATGTTTAATTTGTAGTTGAGCAATCTCCAGCTGGCTTTTGGCGGTGAGCTTTTCCCGTAATAATATCAATTCTTTGGGCCAATGCTGATCGTCTGCCGTGGTTTCTGACAATAAAGTCTAAAAGCGAAAGCGAAAAATTAATACATTATTTACTATTTGCTTCAAAGGTAAAGTTTTGCTTTATAAAATTTATTCATATATATCATTGTTGCCGTTTTTGAGCTGCTATCCAGGAAAGTGAAATAAAACTTGAACAATTCTATATTAAAAAGTTTTAAACGAGAACTTTCTTGGCACAAATTTCTCTCTGAATAGCTGAAGTGTTTATTTTATGACTTCGTTTCTGTTAAAACCACATGATAAACATATGCCACAAAAGAAAGCATTAAGCAAAAAACTCGAAAGATTTTGCTGTTTAACTCTCTTATTTTGCGGTTTAATAAAATATTTTTGTAATTAAGTTCGTACCACTGAATTACGATTTTTGGAGCAGCATAGATTTTATTGACAATTCTTAGGAAAGAGCTTATATTTCCATTGTTACCAGATTTCATTCCCAAATTTTGCGTAAATCGTTTTGTCTGTCAAATATCACTCTTGTTAATCTGTTTGCTAATCGCCGGCATCATAAAGCTGATTTCACTTATGGCGCCGCCAGGCAAAGCATTATGAATCTGTATTTGGTCTTAACATTTAAAAAGATTTTATTTTCTAGAATATCAAGTATTTCTCATCGTTTATGAAACGAGTGACTTTCGTAGCGCACCCCCTCTACTTAATCTTGCTCATCACGGCCTCCGCGATGTGCTTGTATTCGATTCCCTCATAGCTAGATAGAAGTTTAGCCGACAAACTTCTCTTGCGTAATAGACTAAGCGGTCTTCCTTAAACTCTTCATTATTCGCTCTTAGTGTCTGGGTTTCGGTTCCCCCCTTGCGATGTATATACATCGGTTTGGGTTCGTTGGCAATTAGTTGGTGTTTTCAATTCGAAGTTCGCCGGAGATAAAGCCGCATTGTGTGTTCATTTTACAAATATTCTGGAAGTACGGACCGTACACCTAGACCAGCCACAAAATTTCTGGAAGATAACTGGTCCATCTACGCAAGTCATCGAAAATTCGTTTGGCCGCAATAAACTTACTAAGCACACTATTAAGTGTGCAAATGCTAAAATAATTCAACAGCAGTCCGAAAGAATTCGCTTAGCGAACATAGGGGAATTAGCCAACCTTATCAAGAAATTGTAGTCAAATAAAATTATCCAAACTCAAATAGCCCGTATTTCTCATCGGTAGTCCTTGATATAAAAGGGCATTTCACGTAACCGCAGCTCTTGGTGATTTTGTGAACGTGACGACTCTATCTATGGAAACCATTCGGGCACCACTGAGTTTTACTGTTGAATGTTCTTTGTATTTTTTTACAGCATCTGCAAAACCTTGATGAAACGTGAGATTTTCTTTGCATTTAATATTATTTTCTTCTTCTTCTTCTTCTCTTTTTCTTCAAGCCGTTGTGAAATTGTTTTTTCAACCCATTGTCATTATCTTTTTCCACTCGGTTATTTTGTGATTAGTTTGGCTCAATCAAGATGTCTTCTTCATTCATATCGTTTAGCGTTATTAGAGCCTCCACTAAAGAGCCATTTCAGCTCTTTCAGCAATTTGGCAATGCGACTAATCAATTTTTTTTCTGTTTTACAATTTTCGGCGTGCTTTTATCTCTTTTTATCTCTCTTCTAGACGCAATGAACGTAGCGGACACATCGTCAGCTTTATATAGTTTAGGAATTTTATTCGAAGTGTTCGTAGAAAAGTGGTGTCTTTGCCAACTATTGGAAGGACGTCCCCAGGAAAGTTGGCGGTCAGAAAGTCGGCGCTTTTCTATGACCACTTCTTCCATGAACTATCTGAATAGAATTTCTAAATTAAGCAAAGTTGACAATATGTCTGCTACACTTGTTGCTTCTTGTGATTCAATGTTTGGCTTTGTACGTCGAATTTCTAGAAAGGAAGAAGAAAAGGAATGCACGATGAAAACTGGAAAATAGAAAAACAATTGATTAACCTCATTGACAACCTACTGAAAAAGAACGGCTCTTGTGGAACAAAAATAAAGCGAAGCAATACGAAAAACAAAACATGTTGGCTGAACCAAACCAATCGCATAAAAATCATATGGAAAAATGTAATAAAAATGTAGTGACAAAAACGAGCCCACAGCGGTTTGAAGAAACAATGACTCGAAAGAAAATTACATTAGAAGAATATCATTCTTAAACTATTTTAAAAGAACTAAGTTCGTTTTAAGCAAATGTTTTGCTTATGTAATCTTTCACTTTCATCTCACGAATACCAAATTTCGCCATTTTTGTTTTAATCCCGTTTTCTATGAATTGTTGTAAATTTTTTCGCCAATCACTAGCTGCATAAGGTCACCTTACTGTATTATGTCGACAGCGTAATACATCAGTATATGGTTTTACCATTTTAAAGGAGTTTCCTTTCATAGAGAAAAGGGGAGCTTTCAAGTTTTAAGAAATATTTGATCTTCATAGCAATATATTTACTATGATCTCTCAAAAAATACATTTTCTAGATTGATCCAAATATATTCGAACATATGCTGGGTACGTAATTTCTTCGCAAGTACCAACAATAACAACGTCACCAAGATCTACATTCATAAGTATATGTAAGCCAACGATGCTCATCACGTTTCAAAGTTTTAAATGTTTCATTTATTTGAAATAAGAGCTAAAGCTATTGTTATTTAGTACTGTGTGGTGATTACTTTTTGTAGGTCATCCATCAACACATTATTTAATTGAAAGCTATATAGTATCGCGGACGCGCATAGAGTACTTTTTTATGTTATACCTAAATTCCAAACAAATTAGAAAGAAAAAAACTCAATCTGTTAGCATATGTAAAGAAATGCCTCCTTCACGTCTTGCTTTATCATAATTACATCTCAATTCCGTGAATCTTCTTTTCAAACAACGATAAATTCACTTCTTAGAAAATTAAGAGCCAACAATTAGTATTCGTTAAAAAAAAAAAAAGGGAAAAAAAAAAAAAAGTAAAAAAAATTTTAAAATTAAGCAAATTAAAAATGTTGAATTATTAAAATTAAAGAAGATTTTAATTTTTAATTACGCTTGCGGTATCTAAGCTTTATTTTAGATGGATTATCTCTGTTTTCACATTTGGTCTACGGATTCATCTCAAGACTATGTGCCTTTCGACACCGTTAGAATATCAATTATTTCTTACAACTACACATTCCGATCATCGACAGTAACAATTGTTACGATTTTGTCAATGTTTTTCGGTGTTATTAACTGTTTTAAGCGCCCACTGCGTGCAATATAATCAGTGTCGGGGGACAATCCCTTTTAAAATCAACAAGTCTTTAGCGTTCGTCTTATTATCATGTGTACGAATATTCCGATAAATATAATTTGTATCGTGTTATTTTCAGAACCGCACGTATGTTAAAACGTATAAAGTGTCGAACATTAATTGTAACGAATCCCTCCTGTTAAGATAATTAATTCAACGAAGCACTACCTACAGTAGATTTGACGCAACCGGTGAGAAAGGTGCTCAAGAAATGACTACAAGTTTCTTACATATTACATTCCCAACAGCTAATGTATTTCAATTGTCAAATATTTGCATCACCGGCATCCTCTTAAAAATATGCATATTTCTAATCTTCATTGGCATCAAAATAGATCGCCCGTTTTACACTTTACATGTTAGCGAAAAAATATATAATTCTATAGCCAAATTCATAAACATATTCAAAAACATCTTCTCATACCTTGAACTTGTTGGTTGAGACATTGAAATCTTTCGAATAGCTTTCAGCCTCATATCCAATAACGAGTTAGGTTAAAGTTACATGAGTTCTTTTTCACATATCCTAGGGGCATAAAGTATCTTTTCAGCCAATAAGAAAGCTTTTTGTTTGAAAAATGTGCATTGGTCTCACCTATAAGATGGAAGACTGCAACGAAATTTATAAAAATAAAACTAAACTGTGATAGCTGTGGATTGAAGACTCGCCGTAACGAGTAGAGAGTTTACAGCTGTTGATAAAGTATGCATTTTTGTGACTATCGAATGAAAAATTTTTCGATCGTAAAATTGTTGTCGGGTGACATATTGAAATTACTATCAAGTTAACTTTATATCAAGAACGATGAACCGACCCACAATTTAAAATAGCTATCAAACTGAATACATTTTCTCCTTTCATGTCTATTATTCTTGATATAAATATCGGTTTTCATATTTTCTCTTGTCTTTACCACAGCAAATAACAAATAGTTGATGTTATTATGAAAAATGATATGAATACTAATTTATAGTTCATTTCTCCCTTGTGAAATACATAGATTAACTGAAAGCTTAAAAACGTACTTTTTTCCATATAGCAAATAAGTAAATTATGTCTCCTTTTTTATTCTATTGCACGCAAAAGTCCGTAATGAAATTTATTTACTAAGCAAATTCTCGTCTCATAAATTATAAGAAAAAAAAAAAAGTTTTCATCTCAACGTCACTTAATATCTCTGTGGCGAACATAATCTTTTGGTCTCTCTTTTGACTGTTTCTTCTCTTGCTCTGTATGTAACATAAATGGAATGCATGCAGTGAAAACTGTACATTTTCGTCCAAAATAAAATTAAAATCGAAACATTATGCGAAGTAATGAATGTACATAAAGGCTCCAAACACAAATAACATTAAAACCTTATATATACTTGCATGCATATTTATATACATGTATATACATTTATAAATTGTATACGTGTGCGTCAAATGCAAAATTTTCATACACACCCACATGCAAACATATTTTTCTTCTCTTCGGTTTATTTATAATATGTAAATAAAACGCTTTTTGGAAGAAAATTAAAATAAAATAAATATAAGAACACGCAACAATAAACCTTTGTACTAGAATAGAAAAAATGGCAACTAGTAGGCCATACAGAATTCCCGTACAAATTCCTTAAAACAAAAATATTTATGCATATTTTGATACAAACGCGAATAAGAGCGATTGCAAATTGGAAGTAGACTTTTGAAATTTTAACCCCGC